CTTGTTCATCTTTGCTGGCGTTACAACCCCCTCTCCTCCGTGGTTTCGTAACAGTAATTCTTCTCCGGGTTGGAGACGATAGCCCCACGACCAACTCCCAACCTATGGGACCAGGGGCTACATTTCTTCTAGCCCCTATACATTCGCCTGTTTGACATGGGCGGCCCTACCAGGAGCTTACGCTGCCGCCAGCATAGCTCTCTGGGTCACTGAGGCGCGTAAACCTCCTCGAGGAAGTCACATTCAATATTCGGAAGTATAAAATAAAGATACAAATATATTCTCTGTGTAAGATTTGAGGCTTTCAAGGCGGTGACTATGAAGAAAGCAGTCTTCTGGGATTTGGCACCGTGTATATGTGGTGTTAACCGACGTTTCGGAGGAACGTATCGCCTCCATCTTCAGGGTAGAAGAAAAAATATAAGATATCTGCAAGCGAAGAGACGGTGAGAACCGGTAATTACCGGTACGTTCCTCCGAAACGTCGGTTAACATCACATATACACGGTGCCAAATCCCAGAAGACTGCTTTCTTTATATTCTCTGTGTTTAATCAAGCATCATGCTACGAGAGCGTGAAGATAAAGCCCCACGAGTTCTTAACCTCAGCACTAGATACAAATAAGTGGTCAAATTCACACTCCACCCCGACCACGCTCCCGGGGAAAAGGTCACAAGTGCCCGTTAGGTAGGGAACGGGAAGTGTCCCAGAGCTAGTCCGGAAGTTGTGAAGAGAAAATCCTTTGGATCTGCCTGGAATCGAACCCCCATTCCTCAGGCCTCCAGCCCATGGCATCTGAGCAATCTGTATGATCCTTCGTGAACTCCTATGCGTCAATCTGCCAGTTGTGCAGCTACTCAAGAACTTCCCAGCATTTTATGGAACCCGAAGGTCCATTACCGTGTTCACAAGAGCCCTCCAGCGGTCCCTACCCTGAGCCAGATCAATCCAATCCATACCATCACCTATCTCTCTGATATCCATTTTAATGGAGGACAACAAGAAAAGAAGGGGGAATGGAGGAGAAGGAAGGAAGATAAAGATGTTGGAAGAGACTAAGTTAAAGGAAGATGAGAAAGAATAAGGGGTATAACCGCCCACAAGCCTAAATGGTATTTTATTGAGAGTTATTCTCAATATTTTATAATAATTACGCAGAGTGTGTACGCAGAGTGTGACATAGCTCACCTCTTGCACACATGAAGCTGCCTATTTCCCAGATGGACCACACACACACAAAGACGCCAGATGACCCCCTGGTGATTTAGTTAAGCATTTCCTGGAATTTTGGTTCCAGAGTCGCTCGGCGACTCACTTTGGAAATTTGACTCTTGACAGTTTCTGCTAGTCTTAAGTCACACGAAGGCGTGCCAGGAGGGGACGCTATGGCCAGCATACATCATTACCTTTCAAAAGTTACGTTAGGTCATTAAAGAAAAAATTTGCCTCTAGAGTAAAAATGATTGGAAGTAGCGGATTCAGAGTCAACTCCCTTACTTCAAATCTGACCAATCCTCAAAAGTCGAGGGTGTGACTTGGGAACTTCGCGGAAACTGGAAAGGCTCACATCTCTTCAGAAAAAGAGTCTTCAAAAACTCATCAAACAGGCATCAAATAGTCTTCAAATACTCTTCAAAAAAAAAGTGGTGGTCCAGCTAGGAACAGTTGTTAGTGTTTGGTAGTTCACCTTTGAAAGAAGTGCCAGCACCTGGGGAATTGTGTTTGTGAACTGTGTTTTGTTTTACACTTTCTTCACAAAGAATAAATTATACTCACATGCAAAGTGCAAGTGTATCATTAGACGCTTCTGCCTCCCTGTCTCAGCGAGGCCCGTACAAAAGATCCTGAGATAGTCTCATCTCTACCTTCTGAGGTAAAGAAAATTCACCTGTGTTCCTTTAGCAAAGAGCATCAGCAACAGCCGCTGCAGGTGGAAGCCAGGTGAAGGAACAGGAAGGTAAAGGGCGACGGCGACAACAAGAAGGTGACACCCAACATAAAGGGCACTATACAGAGAGAGCGGTTACAGGGGAGAAAAAGGAGGTAGAAGACAGAAGGAAAGGAGAACATGATGGAGGAGAAGAGAGATGAAGTTGGAGAAGACTGGGACAAAATAGGAGGAAAAGAGTAAGAGAAGAAAAGAGAAACAAATGAAGAAAGAGAATGAATATGAAAGAAGAAACGGAAGAAGAGAGAAGGACGAGAATAAGGGAAAAGAAATCAAGAATCAAGAAATCAACAGCAGAATAACATACAGGGAAATCAAAGCAGAAAATGAAGCCAAAACGAGCAGAATCAGGTGGATGGATAGGAGGAAAAATGAAGGCACTATGGAAATGATGAAGAGGAAGCAAAGAAGATAAGAAAGCAGATAAAGTTATCTTTCGTTATCCCCATTCTTATATTTTCAGAGAAACATTATTTTACAAAAGCTGGATTCCTGACGAGTTGGGCCTGCAAGAAATACAGCATCAAGGTTAAGAATGAGTGGAGTCTATATATATCTATGTCTTTATTGTGTCATGCTTCATAAAGCCTATGGATAATTATGACTTTACATTTACATTCTCTCATACAAACTACTGAGCACAACAGCTGTGCCAGGAACACAGTGACTTTTCGATTGGGAGACAGCAGCATGTATGTCACAACAGGGAGCAAAAAAGGAGAACCACGTTCACTGTACCAAAACCAGAAGAAAAGTAGAATGGATTTTCATGTGAATAAGATTCCAAATACTTGAATTTAATTTCCCATTTTGGTTTTCATAAATACGATCACCAGCAAGAAATTTCCATAGTGCTGTCAAAATATTTGAAGTTCTATCAGTATGAGTATATATTCGCTATATTCTTGACATACAGTACACTACAACACATGCCACAAAGTATGAATACTGACTACAGAAATCTTTTTGCATTAAGCTACTGAGCTTTCCACAGGTGTACTGCATTAATCCCTCCTTTGTTAGGCAATACAGGAGCTACAGACAGGCTTTATTCTAGAGAGTGATTGACAGAAGGCTTTGTTTCTATGACTTACTGTGCTGCTGGATCTTCTATAGTGTATCAGCAGCCACAAAAAATGTGCTTTATTATAAAAAGTGACCCCTATGCTGTGTTTTCCGGTCACGGTAGCCGAGCGGTCTAAGACATGCACTGTCTTCGCTCGCTCGGAGGTTCGAATCCCACTCAGGACATGGATGTTTAGTTTTTGTGCGTTTTTCTGTGTTTGTCTACAGGTAGAGGCCTTGCGACGAGCTGATCACTCGCCCAAGGGGTCCTACCAAATGTGTAAGATCTAGTAAACCGAAGTGAAACGGAGAGTTTCATGGAGGTAGGCCTAGGCCCAAATTGGGGCTGTAGCGCCACAGAAAAAAAATGCTGTGTTTAGCTGGTGGCACCATAGGGATGGATCCCATGAAGATCAACATTATTGACGAAAAAGGTAAAGTTGTACCTGTGCTTAACTAATTAAGCACCACGCCATGAAGACGTATCGAGGAGTGGATGTATAGATCCGCATGTCGTGAAATAAGACCTCGAGGCGTATTCTTGCGACGTAACTACAATTCAACGTAACTATAATACAAAATGTTGAACAAGTCGTTTCGCAGTCTGTCCTTTCGTGTTAACAACTCTCACTAGAATGTCAAAGAGTCGAAGTCACATTGCGACTAGCGATCAGTCAGTCAGTAAGTAAGTCTTAGTGTCGAGCCCCATCTGGAAGTCATGACCAGATATATATTACTGTTTGACAGTTACGGTCTTGTTTTTGTGGGGCGCCCTCTCTGATGAGAGACGGGTCTGTCGTTTGTATATGCTGCTGCCCCTGCCAGCGCAGTCTTTCTCGGATCCGAGCCCTTTGCGGCTTGCGACCACATTTTACTGTCTCAGATTTGAGACTTACCTTTCCGTCGCCTCTTACGACTCGCAGGGTCACGGTGGAGGTATTCGATCCCGTCTCCACACGGGTTAATGTCAAAGAATATTCCTATGCAGTGTTTTATACACAAGACGTTTCCAGGCAACGAACCTTCAATGAAGGTTTTCCAGTTTTCGGGGTAACATCGTTCCTGTCCGGCAAATAACACGCAACAACTAGTAGAGCAAACGCATATGCAGGCATGGATCATAAGGCAAGGAACTGAAGGGGAAAGGTGTCTCAATTCCTCACACAACAAACTGTTGACCTTGACACTAGTTGGAGGTGAGTGGTTAGCTTGACGCTCCGGCCGCTTTACTCCCGAGGAAGGAGCCCCTGGTACCCATAGGATAGGAGGTTGAGTGGGCCCCAGAACCGGTCTGTATGACATGGAAAGGTGGAGAGTCCCTTACTGGAACTTGAACTTGGACCCTTTTGCCATGCAGCCCATATCTGTTCGCTATACCAACTGCACTATCCTGGCTCCTCAATATTATAGAAATGGTAACAAAATACAGGGACAGTGTGCAGTGTGATATCTGTATTGTGGTTAGGATTGCAATGATAAGTTTCAATTTGCAATAAATGAGCATCATGCCCAAAAGAAGTGCATTTGGAATAGAATCTTCTTTTTACTAAGGGTCAGTAATGAAATAACTAAAAAGCAATTATCAACTGAAATATCCTCACATTTTTTTTCATTGCTAGTGGGGTGGGAGTAAGTCCCTTGTACTGCGGCCACTTCTGGCCTATTGTACCAGCCCCAGATGATAGGTGAGGGTGATTGTGGAGCAATTGGTGGAATGAAGATTGACAGGGGAAACCGAAGTACTTGGAGAAAACCTGCCCCAGCACCACTTTGCCCACCACAAATCCCACTTGACCAGATCCGGGATCGAACCCGGGCCGCCTCGGTGGGAAGCCAGCAACTAACCGCTTGAGCTATGGCACAGCCTATCCTCACCTTAATATTTTATGTACATCAGTAAAAATGAAATTAACCCGCACCATGTTTTATACATACTCGTATAACACATAAATTTTGTTTTTAATCCTTCAGTATTTTATGTTGCAGGAGCAGGTATCGAAATGGCGGTGCAGGGCGATCCAAGGTGCGGCGTCGTGTGGTGCTGAAGTCAGGTGAATGCAACGTGTTACAGAGTCGTGTGGCACAGCGCAGACTGCGCTACCTGCAAGATATATTTACAACACTAGTTGATGTAAAATGGCGATGGACCCTTCTTGTGTTCGCCCTTAGTTTCATCCTGAGCTGGCTTGGATTTGCTCTCCTCTGGTGGCTCATTGCTGTTACACATGGCGATTTTGAGCCAGAACATTTACCAGATCAACAAGAGAATTCAGGATGGAAACCATGTATAAATGAAATCTACAGTTTTGCATCATGTTTTCTGTTCAGTATTGAGACTCAGCACACAATTGGGTATGTACACGCTGTGATGACCTCAATGATTACACTTTAGGAGCTAAATCTGAATGATTACATCAAATGACACTCATTCAGAGATGGTGATGCAGTTGATTATTAAGGATTTTTTTTTATTATGACTGCTATATTTCCTGATTCCTTATTTCCCTGAAGAAAACTTTCAAATAGTACTTCAAACTCTTGAAACAAACAATACAGATTAGTTTTTACTATGCAGCAAAGGAGTGGAAACTTTATAAGAAAAAACCTGGTTATCTCTACTGAGCTGAGTATATTTGATGCCCTACACAAAGTTTCAAGAGTGTCTCTTCATATATAAATTTCCATTCTTTCTCTACACAAGATAGGCTTTTGTACATCTGCTTAAAAACACATAATTCTACAGAATCATCCATTTAGGGAACAAAATCTTTGATCAGGTATTTTCAACTTTTAAACCACTTAGCATCTTCTTGCATAAAGCCTTGCTTACTTTTGCTTGATTCTAACATTGTGCACAACATCCTAATGAAAAAGCCAGTCTGAAATTACAGCTGAATACCAAGTTCAGTGAAGTTATATTTAGCCTTACTGTCTCACATTTGGAATATACACCAAAGAATTGCAAACTCTGGTCCCCAGTCTGCCTAAGCAAGGATCCTGATGAATAATATACATTGGCCTAAGACAAATGGATCTACATTTTCAAGTTTACCATCTTCTGAGATGTGATACCATGTATTCTGCTATAGATAGAAAATAGTAATCTTCATTTGTGGGAACCTCAAACCTCACATGGATCTATATTTTCATTAGATGTTACATTATCATAATGAAGGGGCTGTTAAAATCCACAAATTATTAAAATGTATGCAGATCTTAAATGGAATTGTGAATGTGTTGTTAGCAGTGAGTTACTGCAGCACAAACATCATTTCATACAATTTCACAAAATATGAAACCGTCTGACTATAACAAAAGAAACAATAAAGAATGGTATATATGTGACAACAAAAAATGTGATTAGGGAAATAAGAAGGCCAGCATTGCATTCAGTTGACAATATTATATTACAGCATCCTGTTGCACTTTTCACTTAGTGTCAATTAGAGACAGTGAAAAATTAATTGACATTCAATTAGCAATATTCTTTTGACATTAAATAAGAGACTGCAAAAATTCTAAATCTAAATAGCAGATTTTTGGTTTGAGTCTTAGATCTCTTAGTTGGAAATTTTAACTACATTTTTTTAATAATGACAAGATTCAAGTTTGTAAATACTGTGCTTGCTTTAGAGCAATGAATACAAAAGAATGTCTTTGTCTACAGGTATGGTTCACGATCGACTACTGAGGAGTGTCCTGAAGCCATTTTTGTCATGTGTCTACAAAGTATTACGGGTGTTATGATTCAGGCCTTCATGGTGGGCATTGTGTTTGCTAAACTGGCACGTCCAAAGCAGCGGGCTCAGACACTTCTGTTCAGCCGCAATGCCGTCGTGTGTTTAAGAGATGGAGAACTCAGTCTCATGTTCCGGGTTGGAGACATGCGCAAGTCTCACATCATTGGAGCAACAGTGAGGGCACAGCTGATCCGTACCCGCACAACCAAAGAAGGGGAGGTTCTTCATCAGCACCAGGCAGAACTCAATATAGGCACTGATGGTGGTGACCAAAACCTGTTCTTCATTTGGCCAATGACTGTTGTTCACAGAATTGACAGTGAAAGTCCACTCTATAACATCTCAGCTAGTGATATAATTGACCGCGAATCTCGTTTTGAAATCGTCGTTATTCTGGAAGGTAAATGCAAACTAGTGGTACACGGGTATGACTTTTCACATATCAGATAAAATAATCAAGTGATTGTACAAATTGAAGTTGAGATAAGGCTGTGTTCTGTTGTCTGAAGCAAAGGCAAAGTTGCCCCTGTTCTTAATTAATTAAGCACTATCCCATGAAGACATACAGCAGAGTAGAGGTGTCACTTCAACATTCTTGACCTTGCCACTAGATGGAGGTGAGAGATCAGCTACACACCACCAGCTTCTCAACCCCCCACTCCCACCCCACCCAAGAAAATGACACCAGAGCTGGTGTGCACACTGTGGAAAACAGGATCTGAACTTCTGCTGTCCATCCTGTAGCCCATTGCTATACCAACCTAGCTATCCTGACTCCTGTTATCTGTGCTGTTTCATGTACAGTATTTGGATAAAATGGTAAAATAGCGAAAGAGAAAAAAACCAGAGGGAAGAGTGACTGAACAAAATATAGAAGCTTTTTTTTTTATATGGATGATCAAATATTAATGCAGACACAGAGCATGGCCTACAAGATTCTAACTGACCCGGCTTAATTGCGTAATATGAATATTCATTCATCAGTAATCTCTCAGACGACAGGTCCACAGTCTCTTCCAAAACAGTTCCTCCACTTAATGCGATCTTCTGTTTTTGGAAAGAGACTATCCAGGAAAAGCGATAATGTGGTAGTTTTTCCATTTGCTTTCCACATCACAGTACAACAGCCATTCAAACCACTCTGGTCACGCCTGTTGCTATACAAACTTGAACCATCTCGAGCATCATTTGCTCTGTGCTTCAAGTCACTGCTGATGATGCTGCTTCCGGCATCAGTTAATATGAATGTATTGACAGCCAAAAACCAAACTATTACCTTTTAATGAAATAATGTAAGGAGAGTTAAGATAGTAATTATAAAGGGAAATAGCTGGCAAGTTAGGAACTCTAATTGCTGTTGGAAGACAGGAAGTAGTTCAGCAAACTCTAATAAATTATAATAGAACAAATGGAATATTAAGATGGAATTTTGGACAGTGGATGAGTAAGGGCATATTACTTCTCAATTTTGTTATCCTTGAACCTGACATAACAAATACGCTGCCTATCAGTGTTTCTCGATATGAAATATCTGCAATTTATGTATAATATATCTTCCTTCCATCCAAAAGGTATCAGGGGCTTCCTCCCTGGGGTTAAAAGGCCAGGGTGTGAAGCTGACCACTCACCTCCAGCTAGTGCAGAGGTCACAGAAATGTGGATCTACACATCCACTCCCCCATACGCCTTCATGGCATAGTGTTTAGTTAGTTAAGCACATGAACAACTTTACCTTTAACTTTATACCTTGTCTTCCTTATGGAATATTCATATTGCTCAAATTTCACACTGTGGTTACAAAACAACTCAACTGCATGGCAGTGCATACTGGGTTCAGGATCTCTGACAGCACAGATGGAATTCCTATCACAGAGTATCCAGAAGAGATCACGTCCAAAAAGAAACACATTCAAAAGCAACTTGATGAAGACAGTGTGATCCACGAAATTCAGAAATATCAAAAACAAAAGGAATACTTATGTATTACCTGCATAAATTGGGCATAAGCTGGCATAATATGCTTCCTATTCTCTCTTAAAATATCAGGTGTATAAAATTAAACAAGTTCAAAAGAAAAGTATTATCCCTGGGATGCATAGCTTTTTAGTTTACCAACATCTTTGAGGAACATACTGCTTCCATTTTTAGGGCTAAAACATCAAGCAAGCATCAGGCAGAGTATGTTCCTCTGAAATGTTGGTAAACTTCTAACTACACAGCGCCACAAACCCAAAATACAGCATTCTTCACAGTCACCTCCATGAAAATTTGAAATCTCACAAGTTCAAAAGAAGGTACTCGACTTAGCAATAAAATTTTAAACTTATTTTAATTTGGTTATTTTATGTTTGTCAGGAACTATAGAGTCAACTGGTCAGACCACACAAGCAAGATCATCTTATCTTCCAAATGAAGTGCTCTGGGGGCATCGATTTCAGCCTATGGTCATGTACAACAAGGAACGACAGGGGTATGAAGTTGATTATAGTCTCTTCAACAACACAGTCCTTGTGGATACACCACTGTGCAGTGCAAGGGATCTGGAACGCTTCTATCAATTGCAGCAGGACCTGGGACAATCATCTCCACCTGAACCAGGTAACTTACAAAATTCAGTCCATGCAAAACAACCATATTACAATTTTAAGTTTTTGTTGAATTCTGACAGTTCTGTTACAGATTGTCTTGACAAAGTTACTAGCATGTTATAATTGATCATGCATCCAATGAAGCTTATATGTTTTTACTTTCCATATGGTAAGATTTTTTTGTTTTTTGCAATTGACCTACTAATCTGTCTTACATTTTTAAAGTAGTTTCATGGCAGCTATAAGAATTATATGCTTACAATGAATCATGTTTAAAAGGAAATGAACAAAATTCTAGTAATTTAATTATAAATTATATCTTGATATATTTTGCTAACTAACTAATTTATTTTTATTGCTAGTGGGGTGGGACTAAATCCCTTGTACTGCGGCCACTTCTGGCCTATTGTACTGGCCCCAGATGATATGTGAGGGTGATTGTGGAGCAATTGGTGGAATGAAGATTGGCAGGGGAAACCGAAGTACTCGGAGAAAACCTGCCCCAGAGCCACTTTGACCACCACAAATCTCATTTGACCAGACCCGGGATTGAACCCGGGCTGCCACGGTGGGAAGCCAGCTATTAACCGCTTGAACTATGGTGCGGCCTACTAATTAATTAAGTGGAGCAGCCCCTCAGAAGCTAATAGTTTATTAGACAGTCAATAAATTCCCATCCTTTAACGGAAAAAAAAGGGTTCATTACAGTTCTCACAAGAGTCAGCCACTGGTCTTTATCTTGAATCAAATAAATCCAATCCATACCCTCACATATTTCCTTAATAAATATTTTATCATTATCCTCACATCTATGCCTAGATCTCTCAAGCTGCCCCATTCCCTTCTGATTTTATCACTAAGTTCTGTGTGGATTTCTCATTTTTCCGATGCATGCGTCATGCTTCTGTCTATTTCACTCTCCTTGATGACCCTAATAACATTTGATGACAAGTATTAACTATGAAGTTCTTCTGTATGCAGTTTCTCTAGCCTCTTATTACTCCTTTCTCTCAGGTCTACATTTTCATCTCAGGGTCCTGGTCTCAAATGTTCTCAATCTGTGTTCCTCCCTTCATGTGAGAAAACAGATGAATTATAATTTTGTTGATTTTTACCTTTGAATTTTTAGATGCTGGACAGGAACACCCAAAAAGTGATTGAATATTACAAAACATTACCCAGATTCAATCTGATCTTATTTTTTTTCCTGAATTTAATTTAGGTTCAGTAATGTCATTCCCAAATACCTGAAATCCACCACATTTTTGAAGGATTTATTACCTTGCTTTTACTTTATGTTCCAACTAAAAATCAAAATATCTATGAATTTTTTAAAAGTTTCCATGTAATAATAATCTCTATTTGCACTTTCAGGAATTCAAAAAAGGCTCAATATTTAACATAATTTTTATTTGATGTTGACATCCAGAGTCTGAATTCAATCAATATATAATGTTTTGTTCATAATTTAGCAGTTATCCAGTTTTAAGAAGTAACCTGTTTTAAAGATTTAGGTAAAGTAAGTGGATTGGAGCATTCCCCAGTGTTTGTTGTTCAGTGTTCCATAGTGTAATTTACTCAATCTGTTTGTAAGGAATAATTCTGATATACTTGCACAAAGAAAAATTTTCACCCTATCTACAAAAAATACATGACAGGATCTTGACAGAGATAAGACTGCCCCTCCTAAGATATCTAGCCCATATCTTCCTTTCATGTATCCCTTCTTAGTCTGTCTGTACGTGGTCTGACAATAAAAAATTTGCCTGCTCTCTCTCTTATGTGCCTGGAAACACTGCCGAAAATCATTTTCCAAAAGTCTACAATACTATCACATTGCTCTAAATGTCTTAAAATGTTTCCAAATGAGATCCTTTCAAGACTCATAGTTTTAAGAATGTAAAAAGGTTACATAGTGACATGGTAGATATGACAGTACTGTTATGTTCTTGATAAAAAAAATTGCATTACCAAAAATGCTGTGAGGAAAGAACATTGTCTTCATGCACACCTCATTGCTTGGCCAATTGATTTTGATGTTTTTTGGAAAATGCACTACTATAAACATATTAAAGTTGAGATTAGAATGCATGGTTGAGTGCTTTGGAAAAACAAATTTGTAATGCATAAATTCCTTGGAAATAAAAAATTAGAGCAACATAATTTTGAACACTTGACTGGGCCTTTCAGTATTGTAATGTCATTTGTTCCATCTTGGAATATACTGAACCTCATATATGTTGTCTATTCTAGTCTGCCAATCTTTTTGGAATATTTCTCCTATTTTACTAAAATTTTCAAAGATGTTCAGTTTAACATCAATGTCTTTGACAGATAAATCATTATATAAATAAAAATATTTATAGCAACCATGAAACTGACTCCTAATGACTGTCTGGGACATCACCTCACATTGTTGCTTCATGAAAGCGTTACTACAGTCATTTGCTATTCCTTGTCTTGTACTAAGCTTTGCTCAGAAATCTAGCTTGTATATAATACTATTTAGATATGGGTTTTGAAAATTGTTTCCATATACCTGTCTTCATGTCAGATGTACATATACATCTGTAATTCTTCGTTACCACTATTGTTTTGGGTATGTATGTGTTTTCAGTTTGTATAGTGATTCAGTTTTCAAGGTGATGGGTGGAATTGTTTGTGTCATGATGAGCAAAGAAAATAAAACACTACTGTAACAGCCATAATAACCAAGCTGAAGCTATTAAGAAATATTATATCACAGTGTTATATTGTCTATGCAATTTTCTTTTTTCTTTTTAATTTTATTTTATCATCACAACAGGTAATATGGACATACCATATATTTGTCGATGAAGAAAGCAGTCTTCTGGGATTTGGCACCGTGTATATGTGGTGTTAACCGACGTTTCGGAGGAACGTATCGCCCCCATCTTCAGGGTAGAAGAAAAAGTATAAGAATTCTGCAAGCGACAACACCGTGAGAAACGGTAAAGCAGACGGTGTTGTCGCTTGCAGAATTCTTATACTTTTTCTTCTACCCTGAAGATGGGGGCGATACGTTCCTCCGAAACGTCGGTTAACACCACATATACACGGTGCCAAATCCCAGAAGACTGCTTTCTTCATAGTCACCGCCGTGAAAGCCTCAAATCTTACACATATATTTGTCGTTCCTTACAACATGTTTTGGCTCATTAATCCATTATTTTACTTTTTTTACATTCACCTGTATTCATCTGCTAGTATTCCTACATTGGCCAATGTTTAAATATTGGAATATTGTTTTTTTAATTAATATCTAATTCTATTATATAGGTATAAAAATATGTTCAGCTCTAAGATTAAATATTAATTTATTAATATCAATTAAGACTAAATACTGATGAATTAATATCGAGAGGTGACCCTATATTTATACCTATATAATGGCATCGTATATTAGTAAAAAAAAAATATTCCAATATTTGAATGTCAGCCAATGTAGGAATACTAGCAGATGAACGTAAAAAAGTCAAATTCCTATGATGGCTTAATGAGCTGAAATACATTGTAAGAAATGATGAATTTATGGCATGTCCATACTGTATACTGTGCTGATGGATCAAAATAAATATTAAGAAGTCTAAATTATTATCACAACATTCATATTCATCAGAATAAATATACAGAACAGTGTACTGAACAGAAAAATTTTATTCTTTCTTTACTTTTTAAATTGAGCACGGATAGAAATTTAATATCTCTATTTTATTTTGAGCTACACTGTCTTGTAAAGATTCATTCCAATTAATCATTACAAATACTTCATTAATACTAGTATAACCTCCAAGCAGGTTTCAGTTTGTGTGATGTCCTGTCTTGTGCATGTCATATGTTATGTGCTGTAACAGAGTCATCAGATGGGCAGCATGGGATGGGGTTACGACGAGTCACCAGTGAACCAAATGCCATGAGCAATATGATTACTTCTGTGCGTCCCAATCTCACGTCCATATAGATGTCTGTCCAACCCAGTCTGGTGTAAGTAACGCATGTGTGTCTTGCCCTCCACTGTTGTATACTCATTATTTTCACATGTTCAGTTGTGCACATTACCCATTCTATACAGGTTTTTATTTAAAGAAACATCACTCTGTTCCTGTACTTCCGTGGAGTGAGAAACCACTATGCTGGAGTTCTCATTCCTTGGCTTAAATGGATAGTCTGTACTAGTGTCTATAAACTATATTGTTTCCAGCCAGAAACAGCAGAAGGGCACTAGCAAAACTAATGATTTCCTGGAGCAGCATCTTTTATAAAACCTTATTCTTTTTGTCTATCTGTCAAATTAAAAGAATTCTGTTGATCTTCTGTCAAACTGTGTACATTAAATTGACAATATCTAAACATCTATGCAACAGTGTAAATAAATCTGTTTTAAGAATTATATGGCACCAATGACTGTTTTCACCACAGTGTCTGGAAATTTCTTGTTATTAAATGAACAAGATTTGTATAAAGTTACTGTTAACTGGGGAGGGGGAGGTCATTAATGACTACCACTATTTGAACTCCTCTATTGGCAATAAAACTAAGTCCACTTGATATATGCTTTGTTTTAAGAGCATGCTTTCTTGACTTTCTTGCCATTGCTACAGCAGCAGATTCAAACTTTACACAAAAAATAGAGCATGAATACTTGTATTTGTTTCAGCACCTAATATTCTGTCTTTAGACAGATAATGCATGTTTCCCCATCCCATCTTCCTTTCTTTGAGAAAGTTGTGAGATGAAGATTGTAAAACTACAGTATTTTCTACCAGAAAACTTTCCAACATGCAACTAATTTTTTTTTTTTTAAATTCGCTTAGTGGGGGTGGAGTCCAACTGGGTCCACTCAGCATTGTGGCCACTGATTGGCCTATTGTAGCCTACCCCGGGTGATCATGAACTCAGAGAAAACCCGCCCCAGCACCACTTAGTCCACCACAAATCCCACTTGACCAGACCCGGGATCGAACCCGGGCCGCTGCGGTGGGAAGCCAGCGACTAACCGCTTGAGCTATGGCGCGGCCTACAACATGCAACTAAGTACAGAAACACAAAATGCAATGGATGTTCTTCTTTGTATAACTATAAAAGAGGAACCATTTCCTTAATTCTTACATCTAATACTTACTCATGGAGCTGAGCCCTTCTGGAGGAGCCACCAATTCTGCAGCTACTCAAGAATTTCCCAGCATTTTATGGAACCCAAAGGTTCATTACTGTGTTCACAAGAGCCCTCCACTGGTCCCTATCCAATCAATACCATCCCATCCTATCTCTCTAAGATCCATTTTAATATTGTCCACCCACCTATGCCTTGGTCTTTTCAGTGGTCGTTTTCCTTCTGGCTTTCCCACCAATATCCTATAAGCATTCCTTGTCTCCCCCATTCGTGCTAGCAACTATTTTTGTATAACTGTCATATAGATAGAATATGATGTGATAAGATATACAACAGATGATGATCTAAAACTTTGTTTTAGGCTGACACTAGTACACATATAATTGTTGTGTGTAAAAGCCCTCGGATAATCAAATGCTTTTTAATGTATACAGTATGTTCTTGTGCATTATTTCAAAGTTAAGCAGAGAAATGAAAAGTCTGTAAATGCTGTTTATGTTTAATACCAAAATTTTTTGCAACAATATAACACAACCTCTTAAATCCTAACATACATTCAAAAGTCACCTTAACTTCTTAAAACATGAGATTCTTCTAAATTCTATAAAAAAATTTGGTATTGATGTCACATAGAACATACTGCATCTTAAATATAAACACTAAATGATTAATGCTGTTTATGGAAATGCTGTAATCACTATTTATTCTCAGAAAAAATATGAACCTGATACTCAAACACTGTGGGCAAAATGCAGAGGTTTCTTTATTGTTAATGTAGCAGATATTTATAGCCACCGCTGTGAATTAAAGGGCTAATCTAAGTAGAATCCTAATCCTGACTTCAGGCTTAATAATTTATGTTATAAAAAATTGTTGCAAGCTTCAGGAGGGTAATCACTGAATTGAGGGAAAATGTTTCAGTCAATATATATTCAGAACTTAGTGCCTGTTGAGATAGGGAAAGTCATTGTTTGGGTGGGCATTTCAGGTGATCAACACTTAGGACCAGTTGTCTTACCTAACAGACTAACAGGTATAGGATACTATCTTTATTTGGTGAATTACTTGGAATATGTGCCTCTTCATCAATGACAACACATACAGTTCATGCATGATGGGTCAGCACCTTATTTTCTCTGCACTGTCAGACAGCACCAATATCAGACTTTTGATGAATAGTGGATACGGCACAAAGGCCCAGTCAACAGGCCTGCATCATCCCAAGAACTTAATTCACTGGATTTTTGGCTGTGGGGTAACATAAAGATATTCTGGTGTATTCAGTGCTGTTCAATACCTCATAGGTATTACAGCAATGAGTAGAGAATGCCTGTTAGGAGATTCGAGTAAAACCAGGAATTTTCAACAGAGCACACGCCTCCGTGCGACAAAGAGCTGAAAGTTGTGCTGAAATGCATGGGAACAACACAGATCTGAGGCAGAGGTCACATGAACATATTCCATATCTCAGCAGGCACTGGTTCCCAGATATATCTTGACTGGGACTTTTTTACCCATTTGAGTGAATACCATACCCCCTAAAAGCCTGTAACCCTATTTTTTTAACATCATGTATAACGGGGTCTTTCTTCTTTCTATATGTGCGATTTTTTCACTACTCCAAACGTTGCCTTTATTAGCATAAATCTTATAATTAGTTTGAATTGATCCTCTTTCTTCTGCACTTCTCACTGCAATAGTATTTGAAGATTACAGACTTCTGGGATGTGATTCTATGTAGTCAAGTAGAAAGGTACCAGTGGCTTAGATGTTCTCCTACTTTGAACATGGAGGCTGCAGGTTCCTCCAAAATGTTGGTACCTACTAGACTACATGGCGTCACATTTCAAACAGTAATCTTCAGAGATTTGCAGATCTCACTCAATAATATTCTGTTTTTCATACAGTTCAATGGCAGCTGAGTGATACAGCAAGCAGTTTATATTCTGCTCCTGCCAGTCTTATCCAAAACCCAACAGCAGAAATCTCATTTGAGCGAAGTCCTCAAAGCAACACGCAACTAAATGCGCGTTCACTGGACATTCCCATGGAGCAGTACCATCAGGATCATCAGGACGACATGGCATCATCACAGTGATAATTGTCAACACACATGAATAATGCCTTATCTGTGCATCTCACAGGCATTTGTTACTCAGATGGTCTGAAATCTGCTTTTCAGAAGTAATTATACTTTCTGATTCTTGAAATCTACATTGCATTCATGCTGAGTGACCACAGTTCAGCATCATCTCATCTTTTTGATTGAAGCCCAGAGCAGCACATCCTGTGATCTGTTATCATGAGATATTTCCCTGAAGATGGAGTCTCATCTACATCATAGTGATGTCCATAGCTCTGTTTACATGCATGGCTTATTCAATACTGTTAATATGATAGCTCCTTTATACCACAATGGAGACCATAATCTTCAGAACACACTCTTAATTTTGTCTGTATATTTTTGGCGGGTGTGACGGACCAATAATGCTGATATGATGTGTGATATGTGTTGCAATTATGGATACATTATCTCCTGAATACACACTTTCAGAAATATTGTAAAGCTCATTCTCTGAGGTAAAATGTTCAGTCACATGATGGTGGACATCTCACCTCCAGAATACAACAACTCACTGATTAGTTTGCAGCTCAGTGGAGTAGCAAATGCGACGTAGTTAGTTAGTTATTTAGAGAGGGTGGGTTTCCCCATGCACCACGACCAGTTTGATCTATTGTGCTTCCCTCTATGATATTCTACCAGTCTCTTTACCCTACTGATAAATGGTGTGTACCATCAGTCCCGCTGAGCAAGCGAGTTTGGCCACTTGCTTAGCGGTATCTATAATGCTTCCCCCATCTAACAGAGGCCTTAGAGATTATTGTTGGGTGGGAAACGTCCTGGAATTTGGCTCACTGATCCCCTTTGGGGATATGAGGTTCTTTTACATGCCGTAAAGTTACGACACGGGACACACAGCTTAAAGTCCCTCCCGGAGGACTTGTTCCCTGAATTTTTCCACCCTTAAAAATTCGACGAGCTCCGCCAGGTATTTGAACCCGTGTACCACGAGTCATGAGATGGGAACGTTACCTCTAGACTATGGAGGCCGCTAAAATGTGACGTAACTATGATATATCTTCCCCAGATGAATCCCTGGGAGCAATCCACACCTCTGTACTATCACACTGGTTTCATCTGCTTCCCACAGATAGCCAACTCATGTCCCATATACTGTTCTCATTTTTGGTATATTAAAATAAAACACCAATGAGATATCATCTTTATCCACATACTTGAATGGTTAATGACTTATTAACTTTATTCCATAATTCATTATCAACTTTTCCCAGAAGGCCTCTGAACTGTTAATCTTGATGCAACACATTATTTGTACCCAACCTTCAGATATAACTGGATCTTTAAAGTTTCAAACAAAACTCTTAAATAAATTGGTTTCAAACTATATAAATATAAATGTCAGTGATGATGTGCGAAGAAGAGCTATGAAATGATGTACTGAAGAGCTGTGTGGTGTTATATGTAATACATGAGTGATTATGCAAAGAGATATATATTTTGTTTCAGTTAGATATAGAAATAAATATTAATGAATATCATGAATTGTGATATGGAGATAATCACAAATTCATTACGTTATAACTAGTGTGCACTGATGTACAGAATCTAATTCATGTAGTTAAAAGTTGCACCCTTCGTAGTGGTTACATGGATTGAAATATTATTTACAGACAATTATAAAAACATACTTTCTGTCATGAAATCAGGTTGCCTGTAAATCCTAGCTTGTAAGAAGAAAATGAAAAAACTACAACTTTTTAAAACTATGAGAGAAAATGTGAGACCTGTCATGTATCATCTATTATGAAAATAATGAAGTTAAACTCTTGCTTCGATTTTGCGAGAGTTAAAATTTCGGATCATTCTGTGATTTTGATTGTGATTACTTGTTGGAAGGAAAACTTAATGTGCAGTACTGACATTCAGTATTGTCTAAGCTAAGTTAGTTGTGGACTAAACCAAATACAGATTTTGTAATTGTAATCTGCTTCAGCTGTATACCAGTGACTTTGTTTGCTGAGAAAGAATACTGTGGACATGTTTATTGTTATTTTCAGGTGTCATTATTTACATTAAATTAATGGATCAAGACAGACTCCTACATAAGATATGTCATGATAAGAAAATAAATGCTAAGGCTATGAGGCAGGCCTTAATATTACTTTGCTATAGTGTTTTACATGAGGAATCTAGACTCAATGAAGTGATGACTTCAAATTCTGGTATAACTAACACTTCATGTGCAATACCTAGCTATAAACGGTAGGTAGGTTCTTGTAATGGAGTCTCAAAAAAGGAGAAAAATACTGAAGGGATAATTTGGAACTGAACCTACACATGGTTAACCTTTGCTGTATGAATACAGAACATTTTTTACAAGGAATGAATTGGCAAAAAAATGTACAATTTAAATAATAGTGGAGTAATTGTATATAAATGACTGTCTATCAAACTGAGATATATACTTATGTGACAATTTTTAAAACATTCATGTTTTGTTTTCAAAATAGCCTCCTACATGGCTCAAGTAACTTATGTGTCATATATATGTACATGGACATGTCACAGTAACTTTAATCAATCGAAAATTTTTATGCGTGTGCAGTCTACATCACACATTGTATGCTGAAGTAGATTTGTTCTGAAGAGTAATATCTTCTGAGATGTAATGCTATATAGTTCAGCAGAAGCCTCACTTCTTGGGTTTACTTTATAATCCTGAAAATGGAGGCATTATGTTCCTCTGAAATGTCAAATTTCTGCTGGGCCACACAGAATTATATCCCAGAAAATATGTATTTTTTATCATGCAGCTTTCACATATTATGTGTCTTCTATAGTTTAGAAGTTATATTAAAATTGACTGTGAATTCACACGTAATTAGGTATTAAGATTTAAATGTTGGTGACAATTTAAGAAAATCTCCAGTCATCCTATGTGAGTGCCTTCGACTTTTATAAGATCATATATTAATTTATATAAAAACAACAAGCAAAAGTTTGAAAGTGGCATTTGTTCAACAAGTGTAAAACAAGACTATTTCACATCTAGGGAGACTTATTATTTTTATAGCAATAAAACTGAATTATCTGAGAGAGTCTTCCTTCAGTTTCTTTGAAAGAACTGGTGACAATACTGTAACGATGAATTTATGAAAATCATGCAAGTGTTCTTGAATTTACATACAGACAGGAGGCTACAACCAGCCCAATGTTTAATCATTCTATATTTAAAAATTTGTCAATAAAACAATTTTTCTAACCAACCTTTTCCATGACTATCTACATACATAAACCAAAATTGCTTTCTAAGTCAGGCATGGCAAAATCCCACAGTTGTATAACTCACAGGTTGGTTGTCAAGCATAAATGAGAATCTTAAGTGGAGACAGTTGAGAACTGCATTAAAACATACTTGAAAACTATACAGTTAATGCCCTAAACATTAAAATGATTGATAAGTTTTTAATGTTTATGCTTCCCTTACTGTATACCACTTGCCAGTTACAGATTTGAATGTTGATTTCTACTGATAACATCTCAGGGCAGTTACACAGATTGACTACTCAATTTCAGATATTGTTTATGCATGAAATTGCATACAACTTGTTGCTGGAAGGTTATGTAAAACTATCCACCCATTACATTTCTCAAAACCATGAACTAACTACCTATTCAGACTTCCTTCCATTTAAAATCCAGCAGACTCTTAATCAAAGTCACTGACCCTGGAAGGGCTGGCACAAGCCTAAATGCTGCCACAGGTGAGGAGAAATTGTAGCCTTTCCCACTTATGTGTGACTTGTACTCATATTTTACTGGCCCTTTCTGTACTGTAAAATAGCAAAATAAATTTCTTTGTTTCTTGAATATTAATTATATATTATTTTTATTTTTTCTTTCGTTTCATTCTCTTCTCTTCAAAATTCTGTGAATCAAAGTAGGATTTCTTCCTCATGTATATGACATGGCTATGGAATTCATGGTAATGGGATGTCCATACAAAAGAAAAGTATGATGGCAATTATACAATTTTCTTGAAATCTGGTGATAGTAGTTGCTTGCAGTGAAGCAGATGACTTCATAAGATTAAATAAATACAATATATATATGTAAAACAGATGAATAAGGCAGGAGAAAATTTAAGTTCTTCGAGGAAAATTTGCCTCGGTACCATTCTATCTCATACAAATCCCAAATGGGCTGCAATAGGGTTAAACCTGAACCTCTCTAGTGGGAAGCCAGTGGCAGCTATCTCATGGAATGTTAAGGGTTAATGAAAAAATGATCACTATTGTTTTGTACAGAATATATTTGGTGCAAAAGAATTTGAACCACAAGTGGACCATGGTCCCCGCAGGTAGACACCATTATCAAGGTTCATCTATAGCTTATTTCTGTATTTTGCTGTAAATTCATTCTTACGTTATCAACTGGTAATTCTGGGAAAAAATTGATTGTATATTTATTCTAGTCCAAAATCCTTGAGCTTAGAAATACTTATAGACTCTCCAAGGAATTATGATCCATTATTACTCACACTACAGGTTAGGGGATTTCAAAGATTTGTGTAATTTTCACAAGTCACTTCAAAATCTGGTGACATCTGGAAGACCTGACTGTAGTTGCAGGTTATGTATGGACCAGAATTATCTTCTGGATACCAATGGACTATCCAACTTCAGTCTACATGAAAATACTTTATGTGTATCAGTGGCTTTAACTTAGACTTCAATGTTTTGAAGTGCGATAGTAATCGACTCTGAATACACTTGTCCATAAATTATGTTCAAGCTTCAGAGTGAATGTATCCAGAAATCTGTATATACTTACAGGCTGCTGAGTAGGACGAAATAACCACTGAGTAACACAGTAGCTATCGTAGCTATGGCCATGCCATTAGCAGGCATTGTATGTACCATTCAGTTCAGAGCTTAGTTCTTGCCAGACTGCCTTTATCTAATCAAGAGCTGATGTTAAACCAATTATATTTATTAGTTATTACATTGCTATATCCAAATATGAATATTGTTATCAAATTATTATGTCTTTTGACTATGTTTGTCATTGCTCTTACATCATTCCCACAATTCTAGATAGTGATACTTTGATCATTCTCCATAATTTGTGAATCATTTGACTATTCTGTTTTCAGACTGGGTATAAGATTCTTCAGTTCTGATTTTCAGGTACAAAACATAATTTTAATTGCCACTCTTTAGTAGATGGAATATTGTTTCTATGAACATCTATTCTGGGGTGGGGTTCAAAAGTCATATCTGGAATTAGTGAAGTATGGAAGCTGTTTCATTATAGAAGTGTGTTAATTTATGCAGGTTTAACCTTTATACAGTTTATATTTGGAAAATATAAAATGAATTTTTAAAATGTTCCAATGATAAATCCTTGGTAAGGGAATGAACACAGGGCCATTCACAAAGTGGAAGAAAGTTTGTAACAGTTAAGTCAGATTGCATGGCTGACATTACATTGTCTTTCTACTGGGTTCTGGGGTTATGTCAGGTTTATCCAATTTCATCAATTTACTTTTCCTCTCAGGTTTCATTTTTTCTTGTCTTGAACTAGCAGCACCCCTCCATCTGTGGAAGCATAGTTCCTGTCTGAAGATACAACATCCATTTGATTCAAGGAGCATAGCTTCCTCTC